GTGGTTCTAACCGTCAGGGCGTTTTTGGGTTTGCGACTTAGGTATCAGCCGCAATTCGAGTCCTTGCCTCAGCTAAGTGTGAGTCTCGACTCAGTGGTTCTAACCGTCAGGGCGTTTTTGGGTTTGCGACTTAGGTATCCGGATTGGTGGACAATGACACACACGGCCAAGGCTTCAGACTCATTGTGAACGACTTGTGGATTAATTGCGTGGACAGGTTTATGATCGTGAACGCGACCTTCTGAAAGACGTCGGCGAAGGCCGGTCTTTCTATGATCTCTGCCAGCTGGTATTGGACCATGTCACGAGGCGACTTCGTCTACGAAGTTTACGAGAAGGTTGGCTAGAAATATAATTGAATAAAAGTATAAATGCACTAGAGAAGTTTTACTTGTGCGAGGTTGAAGCCTGGCCAACAACATCATGCGACCCCTTCCGCATCGCCACCGAGCTGGTCATTGAGCACCGCTTGAGGCCGGAAACTTGCATTTGTGTTTTGCCTTTTCCCGCGAGTTCGATCGGCAGGGTGATGAAGTGGTATGCCCAGTGGCTGGAGCTGGACGATGTGCAAGGGCCTTACTATTCGACTGTTAGGGTGTTCATGCCTCTTCGGTGAGGCGCCAGCTGACGAAGCATGGGGCCGATGGATACATCCTGCAATGGATGCGGAAGCCCGCGCTGAAGAAGCGTCCGATGCTTAGAAAGTCACTGCCAAAACCGGCGATTCGAAGACTTGAACCATCAGGACGGCGGATGGAGGCGTGAGCGGATGCGAAGGTTCATCTTCCATACAAAAAGCGACCAAATACAAAATCACAATACACATATACAAACATATACATTCCTCTGGTTTTATAGGTATGTAGACATATATATATATATATATATATATATATATATATACAAATACAAAGAAAGAGTGAGATAGAGAGATTTCGTTTCGAATCAATGTTTTATGTTGCGTACGTTGGTGCTCGTTACACACATGTATACACGCTTCTGCTTTTGCAGCCGCTGTACGATGTTGAATGTACAATTTTATTCTCATCCTTAACGTTTTTTCGGAAATTGAAGATCTCAGGATTGAATGCATTTCACGTATATATATATATATATATATATTTTTATATTTCCGCACATCGGTAACGTCTATGTGCGTTTTGCTCTAGTCCGCAAGAAACAGAGTTGGTTTGGCTTGCGATTTGTTGAAATCTGGCCAAATCCAAAACGCACATCGGTGACTTCTATGTGCGTTTTGCTCCTGTCCGCAAGAAACAAGAGTTGGTCTGGCTTGCGATTTGTTGAAATGTGGCCAAATCCAAAACGCACATCGGTAACGTCTATGTGCGTTTTGCTCTAGTCAGCAAAAAACAGAGTTGGTTTGGCTTGCGATTTGTTGAAATGTGGCCAAATCCAAAACGCACATCGGTGACTTCTATGTGCGTTTTGCTCCTGTCCGCAAGAAACAAGAGTTTGTCTGGCTTGCGATTTGTTGAAATGTGGCCAAATCCAAAACGCACATGGATAACATCTATGTGCGTTTTGCTCTTGTCCGCAAGAAACAGAGTTGGTTTGGCTTCGGATTTGTTGAAATCTGGCCAAGTCCAAAACGCACATCGGTGACTTCTATGTGCGTTTTGCTCCTGTCCGCAAGAAACAAGAGTTGGTCTGGCTTGCGATTTGTTGAAATGTGGCCAAATCCAAAACGCACATCGGGAACGTCTATGTGCGTTTTGCTCTTGTCCGCAAGAAACAGAGTTGGTTTGGCTTGCGATTTGTTGAAATCTGGCCAAGTCCAAAACGCACATCGGTGACTTCTATGTGCGTTTTGCTCCTGTCCGCAAGAAACAAGAGTTGGTCTGGCTTGCGATTTGTTGAAATGTGGCCAAATCCAAAACGCACATCGGGAACGTCTATGTGCGTTTTGCTCTTGTCCGCAAGAAACAGAGTTGGTTTGGCTTGCGATTTGTTGAAATCAGGCCCTAAGGGCCTAGATTAATGGCTGGGTCCGGCCCAACCTGCTCCCCCTCCTCGGTTAGACTATGGCTGTCCTCGGTAGATCCTGCTCCCCCTCCTTGGTTAGACTATGGCAGTTCTTGGTAGATCAAGACATACATTTCAAGGCTCGGAGCAAGAGCTCAAGTGAAGTGAAATGTTGATGAGCTGAAACGGTGTAGGTGAATTTGAATGCCTTTACAAACCTCCCATTTCGGCCCGAGAATGGGGGTTTGTCCAAGCCTGATTTTTAGCATTTTACCAACCCCCCAATTCGGCTCGAGAATGGAGGTTTGTCCAAGCCTGATTTTTTGCGGTTTCTAACCCCAGGCGGTGAAGTGAAATGTTGATGAGATGAAACGGTGTAAGTGAATTTGAAGGCCTTAGCTTTAAGCAAGGTTTGAGTTACTTGAAGACTAAGCCCCAAGCGGGATGTAAGTAAGTGGAGGCCTGAGCCCCAAGCGGGGTTGATGAGAATTGAAGGCTTGAGACCCAAGCAAGTTTAAGTCGTGTCCCCAAACGTCGGCGCTGGAAAGTTGGTCACAGCCACGGGCTTGCAACAGTAACGTAATCGTGTCCCCAAACCTTGTCGTCGGAAAGTTGCTCACGGCCACAGGCTTGCGATGGTAAGGTAATCGTGTCCCCAAACCTCGTCGCCGGAACCGATGTGCGTTTCGAATTCGGCCAGAGCTGTAAACCAAATCGTTGTTTCTTCGATAACAAAGCAACTCCGCGGGGATTACTTTCTGCTGTTGTTGCTGCCTTTCTTGTATATATGTGGACGAGATGTTCGCTTGGCATCCGCGTGAGAAGTTGTGCTCCTGCAGTGTATTTGGTCCGGTCACAAGCCGCGGTCTTGCAGAGATTCACCACTGCTAGGACTTACGGAATTCGTCGGCTCGTGTCTGAAGAAATCCATTGTTCTGTGACATTGACACAAACCATTTTTTGTAAAAGGCCTTTTAGCTTCGAGCGAGATTTGAGTGAATTGAGGGCGATTTCTTGCGTGGTTCAAGTGAGTTGAAACAAGGCCTTATTTGTTGGGTTATGATGCAACGCAAGTTCAGGTGAATTGACCTAGCCCCAAGCGGGATTTAAGTAAATCCAAGGCCTCAGTGCCAAGTGCGGGTATGAGTGAAGTCAAAACTCGAGACGACACAGGTTGGCAGATTAGTTGAATCAGTGTGATGCACGGTCGACCTGAGAGCATACTTTTTGCGGCTCAAGAGTGCAGTCGGACATCTCTAGGGTCACAATCTCCGCCGCACGCGTCTTGCTTCGTGCTGCACTCGACACCGTCCTGTTCCGGCAAGCAGCAATACACGGGGTGCGCAAAGGTCCGAGGATGTCGGCCTTCGCCAACAGACCCGCAGCCAATCACGGCCTCGAACCTACAGCTCCAACACAGCTCTGCGCACAACGTGACAATCGAATGTTACCGAGGTCCTCTGGCATACCACGTGCGAACCCAAGAGCCGTTCGACCTCAAGAGCAGTCCCGACAATAACGAGGTCGGATTTGCACAGATGCTGGACATCGAGCGCGAGGCGGGAGTTAGCTAGGGGTTAAACGGCATGTCCGACCCGAAGAAATGACTACATGCGCGTGCACATGAATGTACACAGGTGTATACAGAATGTAGAAAAATACATACACATATACATATAATGTTGATATATATATATATATATATATATGCACATATGCACACATTTGCGAACATCCGCGCTGTACCGTGCTTAAAATGTTGTTTAGCCAGTGTTAGACTCGACCGCGCACAGCCAATTGTATCGTATCGATTGTGAGGCGAAGCTCCGGCACGGACCTTTCGAAACGTTACCCTTGTCCACAGCAGGTGTACCTTTTTAAATCTAGCTTCACATGAGTCGGACGACAGCACACGGTGTTGTCACGACGGCGAAGAATATACAGTTTATGCTGCTTCCTGGCATTACAAATGTTGCGAGGAGGTGAAGCAACTTTGGCTAGGGGCCATTACTACAACGTCCCGGCCTCGGCGGCCCGGGTACAATAGCAAGAGTGTGAATGACCGCTTAGGATGATGCAATCGGCCACGGACGCCGGCTTTCCGAACGAGTCCCACTTCGTGCCGGGCACTCATTAGCTCTATCGCTGTTTCGGTGGCTTATCCAAAAAAGGAAACGGGTTCGAACTAAGTTGTAAGCGCATCACGGGCTTGGTCATCGGCTCTGTGGGCCTTGTTTTAAGTGGCTCACCTAAGCAGGTGTGCGAAGGTTGTAGGCGCATTTGGGTTCAGTCCCGGGATATCTTCAGCGACTTAGCAAAACAAGCGTTGGAACGATATTTATGCGCATTCAGATTTGTCAGTTCCGTCGGTATCCTCGGTGGTGTGTCTCAAGTAGGCCAAGAAATGCCGCGGTGTGACGAAACCAAATGCATTTCTTCTCGACTAGGCTCTTCAACACGACGGACGACATCGAGAACTGGCCCGGCACCACTTGGTCCAGATCCTGAGCACTGCCGAATACAGCCCGAGGCTGGCACGAACGAGCTACTCCTTCTTTTACTGCGACGCGGACTTCGAAGAAAGCACGCAAGGACCTCGAACCTGCGCGAGACTCTTAACTTTGCTGCGCCAGCTGAGGCACCTGGCTCGAATGATGAGGTCGTGGCTGTTCGGAGATTGCAGGCCGAAGCGTATTTTCATATGCCTTTACGCAGAGACTCCAATATCCCTTACTTAAGGAATATACCTTAGATTATATATCCTTTAATCAAGGAATGTAGCTTCAAATATTGTAGGATCCCAAACATGATTGAAGAATATTCCGTAATTAATTATAAGTTCATATATTGGAGTCTCTGGGTGCTGCACAGGCCCAACAGCGGCATCAGGACGTGAAGTCTGAAGACAGATAGCCCTGTTTGCCTGAAGTGTTCCGAAAACAGCCACATCCACGGCACTCCGGGCGAACTGTTACAGTTTTTCAGGCACCTGCAACACCAGACCCTAAGTGCTCGAGGATACCAGCCGTGCTGGCGATGCGGAGGCAATCCTGGCAAAGTTGAAAGCTCAGAAAGAGCAGGCCTGGTCTCAGTTGCCAGAGAATTCGAAAGAGTGAGCCCCGGTTTTTTGTCATAGTTGTGTAACATTTTACATCTTATGATTTATGAGTATTGAAGCCCCAAGAGGAATACAAATGTATATTTCTAACCCTATGCCAACCATGAACTAGGGTTGAGGGTTTAGGGCACAAGGTTTAGGGTTGAGGTAGTGTGCAGGCAATAGTCATTAAACCAATGTCGACTTGGCTTGGTTTCCAGTGCTTGGGCAGCATGCCACAGCTTAAGCGATGAGGGCTTCAGCCTGTCAGCCTCCACCTTTCTCCCAAATGGCCTACCGTTTTAAGCACTATCATGGAAGGAAATCATACTGGGGAGCCCTGAAAGGGAAGGGTTCATGGGGTCGAGGTAGAGCCCAGCTTCACCGCTCCGGGGCTTTGGACATTCTTGGGCTAGGGTTGGCGGTGTTTAGTCTGCCAGAGTGGAGATTCAATGTCACCTAGATCTGGGAGTTAGGATTAGGGGGACCCTTTGGGGTATAGACCCTCTCAATAAGGCCCCCTTTAAGAGAGCCAGAAGTAGGGTTCAGAAGGGGTACCCTTTAAGGGGTCTCCCTAATAATACTACCTAAGATCGTTTGAAGAAGTGTAGCGTTAGGGTTTACGGTTCATGGTGTAGGGTTGTGTAGTGTAGGACATTCCAATTTGCAACATTCCAGACCTATGCCGAAATCGTTGGATGCATTGGAGGTGAAGGCCACAAGCCTTTGTTGAATAGGGTTGCAACGGGGCACTGATCCAACCAGACATGCACGGCCCGGCTGGAACGTCCTTTCCATTTTGGGTTTGTATAGTGTGTAGAGTTCGGGCCGCTGGAATCTATGTCTTTTGTTTTTTGGCCAGCGAACCTAGCTTTTGAAGATATTGAGCATGTGCGGTTTTGAAGACGGCCGTAGTAAAAGTAGCAAGACCCGACCCCCGCGCCTAGAAGTAAAGCAGGGGGCGGACTAGCTCTTCCCGTTTATCACCATGTTAGTATACTATGCTATATACCATACTTTACTAGACTATATACGATACGATACTATACGGTACTATACTATACCATACCCCGGCACCTTATCTAGTTGTCAAGGCTCTGTAGTGCTACTGTCCATCTTGATTCGCAGGCTTCGCCTGAGCAGCTCGAGGCTGCGGGCATGCAGCGTCGGTGGCGGCTAGGGCATATGGTTTAGGGTATAGGCTGTATAGGGTTGAGGGATCCAGGATGTGACACATGAATCTCACGGGTACTGAGAAGTAGCCTTTAAAAACTACTTGGTCCCTATAGTCCCTAAGAGGCAGCCCAAATGACATTCTTTGCTAGAGGTCTAACTAAGTTGAGTATAGGAGTGACGATCGGTCATTCACAATGTATTTGTCATCCCCGACCCCGGCCTTCGAAGCTCCACCGCCTAAGCCTTTAGCTGTAGCTCGTCATCTTCACTGCTCCCTAAGCCCCCGAAAGTAGGTAAGATAAAGGCCCAACACCTCGAAAAGGCTATTGTTCTACATACTTTTGGGATCCAGGTACAGTCAAACAGGCACTAAACCCCAAACCGGAATACCAAAATCCCGAAGAAGCTGTTTGAAGCCCCGCATTTTGGGGCTTGGGGGATATAGCAACGCCCTTGGCGGGGCTCCCCAAAACCTTCGCAACCCCACTTCTCCACGGCCTGAGCAAGGCCGACAAACCCTGAGAATAAGTATAACCCCTATGAACCCTTCCAAGCCCTGACACCCCGACAAGCCCTATGAATCCTGGAGCACTAGACACGCCATCCACACGGACAGAGAGCCACTTCACCGAAGATACATCCCCCCTGTTTTCAGAAGCCCAATCTTGAGCCCTTAAACCCTTAAGCCCTAAAGCCTTAACCCTAAACCCTAAACCCTAACTTGAGCCCTTAAACCCTGAAACCCTTAAGCCCTAAAGCCTTAACCCTTTTTGAAGGATCTGGAGCGACCACGCTCTGAAACCCTTCTGCAAAACTCTTATTACGCTTGAGGCTTTAGAGTTCATTATGTGGAGTTGCGAATGATTCATGGTATGTTGTAAGATTTTTTCTAGAGCCCGTGTTACGTTGGTCTTGTTTCAAACGCTCTCCTCCTCGCCTCTACACTGCCTAGAGTCTCCATCGTAGTCCCTTTTCTTGTTTGACCCGCTTTATATTCAGGAGACTATAAGGTAACCCCACAAAAAGAGCTACACTAGAGACTAGATGTCCCTTAAAGGAGCCCTTTAAGCCCTTAAGGGCCCTCATCTTACTTGGAGGTGCATGGGTAGTTATACGGAGGGTTATAAGTAGGACAACTATGGCTAGAAGTCATATTAGTGGACCTATACCCCCACTTATAGCTACCCATAAACCCTGAACCCTATAATCCTAGACCCTAAACCCTCTAGAGCCCGTAAAGGAACCCCACTCAAAACTACCCATGAACCTCCAAGTAGACCCTAAACCCTAGACTCTTATCGAATCCCTATAGATCCCCGTAAAGGGACCCTTAAAGGAACCCTTATAACTACCCATGAACCTCCTATAGAGACTCCCAGAAGGAACTCCTGGAAGCCCGGCGCCGCGGCTTCGCCGCGGCAGCTCCGGCGCGGTGTCGAGGTCGGGGAGTGGATATTACCCTAAGGGTCGGTCCAGGTACAAAAATAGGGTTCCTTTAAGCGTTCCTTTAAGGGTGCCTTCAGGGGGTCCTCTAGGGATTTTAAAAGGGCTCTATGGGGTCTAGGGTTTAACGGCAGTGGCCCCAGATGTCGGAGCATGAGCGCCGTCTGTGGGGCGCCGCGGCCACCAAGGGATGGCAGGCGTACACTGACAACCAAGCGGTGGAGGTGCTCAGCGAAAGAGTCGGCAGCCATTCGCCGAAAACTGGCGGCCCGAGGAGAGTTGGATCGCATACTGGTTCCCCAATTTGTCCTGACGGACAAGGCTGATGGTTCCACAGACGTTGTAGCCTATTGTGCAGCTTCAGGGCTGCGATGCGAGCGGCGACTGCTTGGCACCGCCAAAGGCTGATGGTTTGCAGAAAGCTCAGAACCCGATGGAGATTGAGGCATCTGCCCGCCTAGTCGTGCCAGGTTTTCGTGATCGAGCGAACTTGGCTGGCGAAGTGAGGCACGATGCGCCGACGGGAGCCCGCCTCACTCAACACCTTCTGCTCTCGATCATTGCGAGTCCATGTACCCAAATAGTATATGCTTTGGGCGTAAAGTAGGTGCATTCGGTGCAAAGTATATAATTACTATTTAGGTGCATGAACCCTTGGGGTTTAGGATATTACCCCAAACCCTAAGCTATTACAGCTGAGCATTTAGGCTGTGAGGGTTTAGGAGCTTAGGGAGTAGGGGCCTAGGGCTTTAAGCACAAAGGCGTTTAGGGCCTGTCGGGATTCGGGCTGATGGCAATGACAGTGGGTTCGGGACCTTAGGATTATGGTAGTATTCGGTGTCTTGGGTGTGGGATAGATAGATGTCTATATATATTTATATTTATACATATATATATATATATATATGTGTTATATGCTCTAGAAGATAGACAAGGTTGTGAGTTTAGGAGTTGGGGTTCAGGGAACCACCAGGGATCTGGGAGAGTGGGGATTTCAGGAGTTGTGAGCATTAGGACCTTTATTTCTGGTGGGACGCGGTCAACGGCTTGGGTTTAGGGTTTAGGGTCTGCGGTTTCCCTGAACCTCGTTGGCGCCATCACGGGGCCTCAGAGCGCGGTAAGTAGACCCTGAACTCCAAACCCTACAAGTCCTAAACCGAACTGATGTTATATACATCCCCTAGTTAGAATGCAACAGTGTTTCAAACGTCCTTACCGACTTCTGCAGGTTTTTTACATACAGCAACCGCATCAGTGACGAAGCATCAACCCTCAACCCTAAACCCGAAACCTCAACAAAGCTCTCCTAACTGAGCTGCAACCCTCAAGCCTACACTCAGGCTCTAGATCCACAACAACCCTAAAGCCTAAACCCAACCCGAAAGCTCTCCAAAACCGGGGAATCGTGCTTTAGGTCGAACTCGATAACAGGCCTGGCAGACAGCTCGCAGACGCGTCCAGCGAAATCCAACCCGGTGTGCACAGGCTGCGCCGGATGTGGATTGGAAGGTAACCAGGCGCAGGCGTTCCAGCGCCTGTGGCTGACGAAGGGTAAATTCGAGGTTTCAGTCGGGTGGGGTCATACCGAATTAGGAGAAGCCAACAGTTGCGATGACTTCGGATGCTCTTTGTAATGAGCTACGATTCAACCAAGTACGAGTACGTTACGTGAAACCAGAGTCTAAATATTTTGATTTCGACCACGGGTGTGAGAGATGGAGGGAATTCGGCATCGAGTAGGCAAGTAAATATGCAAGCATGCAAGTGGGTACACATTGAACCTTCTTGACATGCATCACGGCAATTACATGCACTACCTAGATTATTATGTACAACATTGCATAAAGCACATGTGCTTTGTAACGTAATGTTATGTATCTACATATACGTAAGTATGTATGCATGTATGCATGTACGTATGTAGGCATGTATGTATTTATGTCTGCATGAATGTACTTAGATATGTATGTTTTTAAATTAAACATAATATATATATATATATATATATATATATGCCTATAGGTATATGCATATGCATGGACATAGAAATAGACATATATATATATATATATACATACATAGATCTAGACATAGACATATACATATACATATGCATATACATACATACATACATACACACATGCATACAAGCATACATACATGCGTACACACATACGTGTATATATATATATATATATATATATATATATATATATAGAGGTAGGTAGATAGATAGTTACATGCGTGCATGCGAACATACATGCATGCTGACACATTTCTGCAGCGTGTATATACAAACAAATATTTTACACGTGCATGTGCAGACACAGGGTACATCTCATTGTCATGTGCGGTAGTGTGTGTGGTTCTCTGTGATGTAGGATCATGTCGTAAGCTGTTAAACCGACATCAGCCAAAGTGCAGGCGACGTGTGTTCTACTGGTGAAGCACAACACTCGGATCAGAGCGACATGTCAGACTAACTATTTTCAGGTTTAGTTAGTAAACACTGTGCGTGTGTGCATATATATATATATATATATATACAGATTTACTTACTGATGGTTTTTTTAATATATAGTCTTTATAGTGCTCGAGCGCGTCAAGGCTCATTCAGCAGTTTGCAGGGTGTAGATTTAGCCTTTGGGGTTCAGGTGTTTAGGGTTTAGGGTGTTTGTTCTTGACTGTTTTGGGAGGTCCCTGGTCTGCTCACTGTAGTGCTTCAACCCGAGCCCCTGACCCGAATCGTTACAACCTTTGACACTTCCTTAAAACCTCGCCCTAAAGCGGATGTAGGTTCGTGCCTTCGATCTGGACGGCTGCAAGATGCCTATACCAGCAAGTAGGACGACGCTTTTGAGTGGCCTACGTGTTTGTAAAGGGCCCTTCGATTTTGCAGTGTATCACGGTCACTGACCCCGGTTGGCAACAGCCCTCGGTTTAAAGCGAGGATCTGCACATGAGCTCTTGGATTCTAGAAATCTAGAGACAATCCGCTAAACCCCTAGACCCTAAACTGCTTAACCCTCTGTATTAAACGGTTTGGAGCTTCCATTGGCCTAGGGTTGGGAGCAGCCGGACAGCACCCCCAAGCCCACTTCCGACCATGTCCTACTTGGAGCATACGCAGTATGCGTATCTATGAATATACACACGTTTATATTCTGTGGTTTACTGTTTTCCATTTATTTTATCTGTTCATTTATTTGCATACATAACTAGACGAATGCATCACTGTAATTGATGCTGACGGTATTTGTTAATTACCCTGCGTATCCTCCACGTACTGCTTTGTAGACAAGGTGTGGCACCTGCAAAGCTGCTAAATACTGCAGCTATGAGTTCCCAGGCTGCAAACGGGTTTAGGGTTCAGGGGTTTAGGGTTTAGGGTCACAGACTTGGGTTTAGAGTTTAGGCTAATTAGGGTTGAGGCTTCATTGATGGGCTTGTGAGGTGTGCTGGTTAGGCTGGTTGTTTCGGAGCACCAAGTTCTGATAAACAGAGGGGCAGATAAAAGGCAAACCTTGCGAGAGTGCAGGGGGCCTTGGCAAGATCACGTCGAGGGGTCTGAATCTTGGCCCTGGTTGCAGGCCTCACTAGAATTAAGTGGGCAAGCTTCAGCGGCCACCGACAACATTCCTAGCAGCACCCGGAATCCTAAGCCCTTAAGCCTCAAAGACCTAAACTGTCTGCCTTAAAAACCATGTCCTAAGCCTGAGTCCTACAAGCATTGCAATATAGGGGCCTTGATAATTAGACTCAGACTAGGGTTTGTGGGTATACTATACGATAAGGTTCATAAGGAACCCCAAAACCCTAGACTAGCCCTGATCGTCGCCCTTATAGATTTAAGGGAACCTCTAATCGTCAAGGGCCCTTTCTTTAGGTGCCAGAAGAGCCACTGGAGGGAGCACAAGAAGAAGTGCCGAAAGCGAGTGACAGCTTCCCGGCCTCAGGAGCTCGGGGCTTCAAGGCTTTTTTTGGGGGGTTAGGGGTTTAGGGAGTTTGGGGCTTTGGGGTCTCTTAGGGTTTAGGGAGTTTGGGGCTTTGGGGTCTTTTAGGGCGTAGGGTTTAGGGAGTTTGGGGCTTTGGGGTCTCTTAGGGTTTAGGGAGTTTGGGGCTTTGGGGTCTTTTAGGGTTTAGGGTTTAGGGAGTTTGGGGCTTTAGGGTTTTTTAGGGTTTAGGGTTTAGGGAGTTTGGGGCTTTGGGGTCTTTTAGGGTTTAATTAGGGAGTTTGGGGCTTTAGGGTTTTTTAGGGTTTAGGGTTTAGGGAGTTTGGGGCTTTGGGGTCTCTTAGGGTTTAGGGAGTTTGGGGCTTTGGGGTCTTTTAGGGTTTAGGGTTTAGGGAGTTTGGGGCTTTAGGGTTTTTTAGGGTTTAGGGTTTAGGGAGTTTGGGGCTTTGGGGTCTCTTAGGGTTTAGGGAGTTTGGGGCTTTGGGGTCTTTTAGGGTTTAGGGTTTAGGGAGTTTGGGGCTTTAGGGTTTTTTAGGGTTTAGGGTTTAGGGAGTTTGGGGCTTTGGGGTCTTTTAGGGTTTAATTAGGGAGTTTGGGGCTTTAGGGTTTTTTAGGGTTTAGGGTTTAGGGAGTTTGGGGCTTTGGGGTCTCTTAGGGTTTAGGGAGTTTGGGGCTTTGGGGTCTTTTAGGGTTTAGGGTTTAGGGAGTTTGGGGCTTTAGGGTTTTTTAGGGTTTAGGGTTTAGGGAGTTTGGGGCTTTAGGGTTTTTTAGGGTTTAGGGTTTAGGAAGGTTGGAGTTTAAGGTTCAGGGCCGAGGGAGGACCCTCCAATAGCCCTTTAATAGAGTCCTTGTGGTCCTGAATAGTGGGTATTTAGGATACATTAGAGGCTAGGACCCAGAGTAGGCCCTTATTCCCTTTTTTGAGGCTTAGGTTCCCTTATAAACCCCTTTAAACCAAAAAGGGCACCCTTTTTATTCCTAGGTTACTCTTAGGTCTAGGAGGGTAGTTGGGGGTCTACGTGGGATTAGGGTTTAAGGTTGGGATGGTTGGGGTTCAGGTTCGGGATTGGCAGCAGGGTTCTAAAGGGAACTCCAGCAAGTTGGAATATGGTTTCGGGGTAGGATACCTTATAATTTACCATAAAGGGTTTAGGATAATCATGTTCCAACTTTCTGGCTTTTACTTTATACGGATAGGCATTACAGAATGGAGTTTTGGCATGGTTTGTAGCAAGGCTTTAGAGATTTGGGGTGCAGGGCGGTGCTTCATAGGTGCTCGTTGCTTTGAGGGTTGTAGGCTCCAGAGCTAGAGTGCCTGTCGCCTGTTTTTGTTGTTTTGCAAAAGTGAGGTGTAAATGGCTTTCCCAAGACCCCTCGAAAAGGGTTTGTTTGTGGGTAGCACTGATAGCTGGTTACTGCTGCGTTGTGCAGGGTTTCGTGATTAGCTCATGCCAAAAGATGGTAACAGATGGTAATTAGTAACAGTAGTCGCAGTATCTAAACACAGCGCAGCAGTCATGTAGTGATGATAGTGATGATAAGGTTCCCCTCCATCGAAGTGCTTGCACAAGCCAGGGTCCTGGCATAGCTAGCGCCCCGACCTGCATTGGGTTCTAGGACATTGACCCGGAAACACAAGCCATTGCAGGCCCCATTTTTAGGAGGCGCACAAATGAGCACCTGCAACCTCGTGCCCCGGCCCAAATCCCTGAATTAAATTTGGTCCTAAACTTGAAACCCCCGAACCCTAAACCCTAGTGTTCACTAGCTGGTGATGGGATGGGCCAAGCACGGAGTTCGTAAAGGGCTTCATCCTTGCGTTGAACCTTTTTCTAGCTGCGGGGGCTCGATCTCATTCGGGACCGGAATAGCCCCTACCCCAAGGCTCCATGGTAGTTCCTTTTTGGGATTACCTTATAGGATTCTATATATGAACCCCAGAAAGGAACTACTTCCGTGCAAAAACCGAGGCAAACATCTGCGTGCTGTCAGATTTTGCCTGCGGCTCGGCAGCACAAAGAGAGACCCACAGGGTCCAAAGTACCTTTTTACTAGGGGTTTAGGGTGTAGGGCTTAGGGTTTAGGGTTTTGGTTTAGGGTGTAGGGTTTAGGATAGTAAAATGTAGGGTTTCTATATTAGGAATTACTAGTATGATTTGGGCAAGTACCCCCCATCACAGTACCTACGGTTGATGATATAAACCCTGCATTACCCATAATAAGGAATATACCATAATTCCCATAGATTCCTGTTCTTAAGGTCATGCAGGATTTCTATCATCAACAGTAGGACCCTTTGAGAGAGGCCAGGGGCTGACAGGTGCGGTTTCCTTGCTCTGCGAAGTGCTCGGGTTTGGGGTTTAGGGTTTTAGGGGTTTAGGGTTTAGAGGTTTAGGGGTTTAGGGTTTGGGGGTTTAGGGCTTCAGGAGTTTAGGGTTTAGGGCAGGTGCAGCGCCACGTCCTGAGAAAAGAAGCAGCAAACCAGCACACACTGCGACAAAATATAAAGCTGAGGTCTGGGGCTGTTCCACTCATGTCGAACCCTACTTGGAGGTTTATGGGACTTCGTAAGTCAGGTTATAAGTACCTTAATTGGGGTTATAAGTAGTTATAAGCAGAGTTACCCTAATTATGTCCCTAGTTGATAAGTCCCGTGATCCTTTAAGTACATCAGGACCCCACGGGTGGATCCAACATCGCTGGCTGCGGCGAGCGATGGCAGCTTGCCTGCACGATATATAATGGTAATAATTTAGTCTCAACCTCCATAGATAGAGCTAGGCTTCCACTGCTTTTGTTTGTTGAAAGACTTCTGCTGCGGTTTGTTTGCCCCTTTGCTGCCATGTGGCTATAGTCGGCCATGTGTCGTCCAACATGTAAACAGAGCGAGTTGCAATCCGGAAGTGAGAGCTCTGCCCTGCATTCCTGCATCCCTGTGGAGGGGGAGGGAACAGATTACGTTCGACTGAGCCCCATACTGAACTCACGAAAGCAAGTCGAGATCGGCTTAGCCCTCCCCTCCTCGACCCTAAACCCCTAGGGATCAACATAACCCAAAAGCCTTTTTTTAGTATGGTCTTTGGGCCCAAAAGCCTGAATATATGAGTCCTTAGATTCCTAGGGAACCTTAAACCCTCCCCTCCTTGAGCTTGAGGACATGTTTGCTGATGAGCCCATAGACTTTACTGTGACGCGCTTGCCCTTTTTCCTGCGGCCAGAGACTCTCGGACCGATCCTAGCATAGCCAAGAGAGCCCAATACCTTAAGGAATAGAGCTGAAATCATAAAATGAGGCCCTATGTAATTTAAGCCCTATTCCTCAATTACGGGATATTGGGCTCTCTGGGGGGGGGGGTTCAGGGTGTGAGTTTAGGGCTTTGGGGCTTGTTGCTGCGATCATAATGGTAGTAGTGACGGCAGTTGTTTTGTGTTCGCAGTCCAAGTGACGGTGGTGGTGGCGGCGTGGCGGTGGTCGTGGTCGTCGCCGTCGTCGTCGTCGTCGTAGTAGTAGCAGCAGCAGTAGGAGCAGGAGTAGTAGGAGTAAGCGCAGTGCGGCAGTGGCAGTACCTTCGGCAATTATAGCTGGCTCATGATGATGGTACCGTCTAGGGGGTGACTTAGGTCTAGCGTCTCGAGCTTGTCGAGCATTTGAGCAAGGAACCCTGAACCGACAGCTCTTGGAACCCGCAACTCTGGGATTTGCACGCTACATAGTGCCCCCCTAAGGAACCCGAATGCCTAAGCTTTGCAGCCCTGCAGCCGTAAACTCTAAAATCTTACTAATATAGGGGCCTTAATAATTAGAATAGGGTTTGGGGGTTATATCATGCTACAATTATCATAAGGAACCCCCCACAATAGTATAGGTGATTGTCGAGGCCTCTGTACTAAACCCATCCCTTCAGGCTCCCTGGCATCGGCAAGGCCATGCTCCCGGGATCGGATGACAACTCTCCTGGCGCAGCACTTCCCGAGAGGTTTCTTGCCTTAAGTGAGACTTAGGGGTACTTAGAAATATTTTTAAATTTCTGGTTATAATAATCCCTAAGAAACAGCTGGAATTATAATTTTTGCTAGGGTTCTAAGTTCAGTACAGGAGATCCCGAACCCTAACCCCCAAAGCCGATTCAGAAAGCCCAAGACCCTCTTTGGACCCTTAGGGTGATGGCCACGTTTTTTGTCGGAATGTGAGTTCCCGAGATATGAAACTATGGGGGTCTGGGGTTCACTACCTTCCCTCCCATGTTGGCATCGCGAACCAAAAGCCGATGTTCCCACATGCGGCCAGTAAGGCCTGTGTCGAGTTGTCTATCAGAGTCTATCGTATGGTCTTGCTTTCCAAGTGTTCCGTTCCCTGGAAATTTAGAGGCAGCGAATGTGATATCACT